GACCCCGATGGGGCGGGCGGGATGGGATGCGACTGACAGTCGCACGATGGCGCAGATGAGCGGACTGGGAGTGGCGGCAGAAAGGGCTGACAGCCGAAGTGCGCGTGAGCGCGCGGCGTCAGGCAGCGAGTCCTGCTGCCGCGAGGGATCTAGCAGCGCCGGTCGCACCGCGGGAGGGGGGGAGATCAGCCGCGGGGCGAGAGGCCGCAAAGTGGCCAGGAGCAAGGGTCTCCTGAGGGCCAGGGGCGAGCCAGCAGCCCCAGCTGGGCGCGCCCGAGGGGGGGGTAGTAGGCGCGGGGCCGAAGTGGCGCGCCGAGGGGCCCCGTCTGGGGCTGGCCCCAATGCGAGGAGGGACAGGCCAGTTGCGCGGCAAGTCACCCTCGAGCTGGTCGTCGTGCTGTTAGAGCCGCTGGTACTGGCCGCCGAAGACCTCGTCCAGGGCAGCGTGGTGTTCCATGACCCTGCCGCATCCGTCAGCGTCGTGCCGCTGCTCACCGTAGCGCTGGACGACGCGATGTTGTTCGACTGCGTCGCGCTCGAGCCGTATTGCTCGACGTCGCGCGGCTCGCCACCACCGCGCTCGAGCTGCTGCTCAGTGCCGTCGTTGAGCTCACCGTGGAGGTGGCCGTGGCCGCGGCACTCCTCGGGGCTGTCTGACAGGGGCCCTGCTGCTCGAGGTCGTGCTGCCGGTCGTCTGAAGCGAACTGCTAGACACCTACTCACTGAAGCCAAGGTGGTGGACGGTGCATTCCGCTGGCGGTCACGCTCGTGCAGGCCGCCGTGCTGCTGGTGCCGCTCGTACTATGCTCGATGTCGGCGCGGAGTCCACCGTGGAAGTGGCCGTAGACGCCGCACTGCTCGAGACCGCCTTGGTCACGACCGTGCTGGCGGAGGTCCCGTTGCAGGTCGTCTGGGACGAACTTCTGGACAACAGGTGGTGGAGGATGCAGCGGCGCTGCTGGCCACCCTCGAGCTGGCCGTCGTGCTGCTGGTGCCGTTCGTGCGAGCCGTCTAAGTTCATCTCGATCTTGTCTCGGTCAGCGTGGTGCTTGAGGATCTTGTCGCGTCCGTCAGTGTCGTGTCGCTGCTCGTCGTAGTGCGGGCCGGCGCGCTGCTACGTGCTGTCCGACATTGGGCTTCTCGTTTCAACCACTCACGCTGCTGCTCATTGCCGCCGTGGACCTCGCTGTGGAGGCGGCTGTGGAAGTCGCACCACTCGAGGCCGCAATGGCCGTGACCGCGGTGCTCGAGGACGGCGTGGTATAGTAAGACCTGGTCGCGCCCGTCAGCGTCGCGCCACTGCTCACCGCGGCGCTGGCCGGGCGGCGCTGCTCGACTACGTCGCACTCGATGTCGTCCGCTCGGTTGCGCTGCCCGACTCGACCACGCTCACGCAACAGGTCAATGCCAACGTGTAGCCCACTGTGGACGTGGTCGTGTACGTCGGACTGTTCGAGGCCGTACTGTTCGTGACCGCGCTGCATCAGTCGCCCTGCTGGTCATCTGAGACGAACTGCTAGGCAACGATGCGCTAGAAGTCGACTTGCGGATAAAGCCGTGGCGCCGCTGCCCAGGCTGCCCGCGCTCGAGGCTGGCGTGTTTTTTTTGTTGTTTTGTTTTAAATGACGGCCGCTAGCGGGCAGCCGCGCGGCGTCCGTAAGTCAAATGACAGCCAGGCCGACGCAGTACAGCACAGGAGACTAAAACTACAGCTGGCAGCAAGGAAGAGGCGAGACCAAGACGGACGAGGACGACGAGGGGAGGGAGAAGCAGGGTACTAACGCAGCGCCGCTCAGACGCGGGAGATCGAGCCCGGGAACGCCAGGAACACGTCGTCCTCCAGGTACATGTACCGCGAAGGGAGCCAGCGTGCGGCCTGAATCCCGCGTACACCAGATGCCAAGCGTCGAAGGTCGTGAACCCGCCAAAAACGAGCATGGATGACCGCGACCATGTACAAGCGGGCAGGAAAACCAAACGACGGCGAGAGGCGGCCACAATTGGGCAACCCACGAGCACAGGCCGGACCCGCAGGTGGGAAGCCGGACCGGCACCCTGCCAGAAGAGTACACGCGGATGCACACGCAAACCAAATTAGGAAGAGAGGCGGCCACAGGTGGGCAACCAACGAACACAGGCCGGACCCGCAGGTGGGGAGCCAGACCGGTATCCTGCCAGAAAATTACCAGCGGTAGAGGCTGGAGGGGAGGAAGGGGCAGAGGAAGGCAGCAGAGGCAGCGACGGGGAAAAGGAAGGGAGGAACCAGGCCTCACTCACAGAACACCACACGTGTACGACGCGCACCGCGAAGCCCTCCTGAGTCCGAAGCTGAAGCCAATGAACCAAGGGCCTGAGGACCTGCGGGCTGCTGGGGATACGCAGAAGCCTCAAGAATTACCCTCCAAAATCTCTGATCCGTCTCCTCTCTTCCTTACTTCCACCTCCCTCTGGCTCCTCCCTTCTCGCCCGCCGTCCCTCCGATCTCGCTCTCCTCTCCTGTGTCCTGTGTCCTTCCTGCTCTCAGGTTGCCGTGGAGCTATTGTTGGACCGTCCTGAGGCCTCAGAGGCACATCGAAAGATAAGAGGCGAGGTTTTCAGAAACGTATCGTTTTCCGTCGGCTTCAACACGATTTGGGTACACATGGCGGTCTCTGTGGCTGTCATGGGGGACTCTGGGGAGCTTTCGGGGCCGTGTTGTGGCCTTGTGGGGCCTCTCTTGGGGCACGCTTGGGTCATGTGACGGCCCGGCCATCCCGAAGCCTCAGAAGCCCATCGGAAGCAAAAAACTATGTTTTGTCAGAAACCCTTTGTTTCCCACTTGTTTCTCACTGAGCTGGCATTATTGGGGTCCTCTTGATAGCCACTTGGAGCCAGAATCCTTGGAACAATCCATGAAGGTTACCTCTCGAGGCCCTCTCGAGGGCCCTGCTGGACCCGCCCGCGTGGCCCTTTGGGGCCTCTTCCGGCCAGCGTGTGGCCACCTGGGAGCCTCTTTGGCCACGCTGGTAGGCCTTGGCGGCCCCTTTGCGTACCCTGGGACCGTCCTGGAGGCCCCTGGTGGCCTGGACATTCCATCGGAGCGTTGAAGCAGGGCCTGCCGGCCCCATGGACTAAACTATGGCGCGGAGAGAATTGGGACATGTTGACAAAGTAGGGGTCCCGGGGCCCGGGGACCCAGTCGCAACTTGTTTCTTTGGTGTATATGTGTTATGTCTTTCTTTGTTGTTTGTTGTTGTATGCTTGTTGCCTTTCTCTCTCTCTCTCTCTGTTTCTCCTCTCTCTATGTATACATATATACACACATGTACATGTAGGTATGGATGTACTGCGGCGGCGCGCAAAAGGGGGTAGGGGGAAGGGGGGGATGCTTATTACAAGGAGGCTGCTTCTTAGAAAGCGCCAGCCTTACATCTATAGATGGGGCTCGCGCCTCCCAAGGAGCAGGGGCGCTTCTAAAGAGCATCCCCCCCTCCCCCATACCGCCCTCTGCGCGCGGCTGGATTCCCTCAGACCGAGACGAGTCCAAACTTCCGCGACTTCCGATATACAATCTCGGAGGCCCGCCGACGGGTCGGCACTGGACGGGCCCTGCGAACATCGGCCATGAAGGGAGGGCCCGCTCAAAATCGGTCCCAGGACCCGGCCCGGGGCCCATCTGGTCTTAGATCGCACATGCCCGCTTAAATCTGGTGCCAGTTTTTCCTCCCGGATTAGTTTTCGACAGTCCTGAAGCCCCAACGCGGCCACCCGAGGCCGAACAAAAAAGCAAAAGGCAAAGCCTCGAAGCTGTCCTCCTCCCCCGTTGTCTGCCTCCTCCTCCTCCTCCTCCTTCTCCTCCTCCTCCTCCTCCTCCTCATTGTCCATTTCATCTTCCCTCTCCTACCTAATGGTAGTAGTGGTGGAACATGTGCCCAGCATCTCCCCTTCCTGCTCGCCGGGGCCAGCGCTGGGCCACCTCAGGCTCGGCGGCGCGTCCAGAAGAGGCCTTGGGTGGAGGGCAGGCCTTCTCAGCAAGGCGGCGGGGCTACTCAGAAGCCCTCTCGAGCCTCCCCAGAAGTTCTCTCCACGTCGTCGGGGAAGGCCTAGAACACTTCAGAGCCTCCTGAAAAGGGCTGCCCCCCCCCCTCTCTCGATGATGGGCAAATCTTCCATCGCCACTACCAAATGTAGGACAGGAGAGAAGGGATGATGAGGAGATCCTCCTCCTCCTCCTCCTCCTCCTCCTCCTGCTCCTGCTCCTCCTGCTTCTCCTGATCCTCCTGCTCCTCCTGCTCCTCCTGCTCCTCCTGCGCCGCCTGCTCCGCCTGCTCCTGCTCCTGCTCCTGCTCCTGCTCCTGCTCCTGCTCCTGCTCCTGCTCCTCCTCCTCCTCCTCCTCCTCCTCAACCTCCTCCCCATCCCTCCTCCTCCTCCTCCTCCTCCTCCTCCTCCTGCTCCTGCTCCTCCTGCTTCTCTGATCCTCCTGCTCCTCGTGCTCCTCCTGCTCCGCCTGCTCCGCCTGCTCTGCTGCTCCTGCTCCTCCTCCTCCTCCTCAACCTCCTCCCCATCCTCCTCCTCCTCCTCCTCCTCTCCTCCTCCTCCTCCTCCTCCTCTTCCTCCTCCCCCTGCTCCTGCTCCTCCTCGTCCTCCTCCTACATCCTCCTCCTCCTCCTCCTCCTCCTCCTCCTTCCTCCTCCTCCTCCTCCCTCCTCCCTCCTCCTCTCCTCCTCCTCCTCCTCCTCCTCCTCCTCCTCTCCTCCTGCCTCCTCCTCCTCCTCCTCCTCCTCCTCCTCCGCCTGCTCCTGCTCCTGCTCCTGCTCCTGCTCCTGCTCCTGCTCGTCCTCCTCCTCCTCCATCCTCCTCCTCCTCTTCCTCCTCCTACTCCTCCCTCTCCTACCTATGGTAGTGGTGGTGGTGGTGGAAAAAATAGCCCATCGCTTATTCTCCCCCCCCTGGGCCAGACGCCGACAGACGCCCAGCCGATGCTGAAACTAACCTGCCATGCCTCTTGCCCCCTCGGAGCCTCCGCGCCCTCCAGCCGCAGCCTGTCGGCGGCCTCCGCGGCCGCGCGCCCGGCCCGCAGCTCGGCCTCCGTCCACCGCGCGCGCTCCTGCGCCTGCTCTGCCCACGCGTGCTGCCCCTCCGCCCCTGCGCGCGCCGCCGCGCAGGCGTCCTCTCGCTGAGGGCTGAACGCGGGTTCGTGTCGTGTCGTGTCGACTGCGGCGTCCCCTCCTCCTCCTCCTCCTCCTCCTCCTCCTCCTCCTCCTCCTCCTCCTCCTCCTCCTCCACCTCAAATTCCTCCTCCTCCAATTCCTCCTCCAATTCCTCTTCCTCCTCCTCCTCCTCCTCCTCCTGCTCCCAGGTGCATTTTGTGTGAGAGTGCTTTGAGACAGCTTCCGCCCTATACCAGCGCCCATGAGTATGTCCATCACTGTCTCTAGTGGCGCCTATGAGCCCCGACTGACGCTTGTCCATCAGCGCCTATCGGCGCCCACTGGCGGCTACTGCTAAATAGCAGTACTACTAAAGACTCATAGTCTGGAAGGACAACAAATCATGCCTGAAACGACTCTCACGCATCACACACCTAAGGTTCTCGATGCCGCGGGAATCGTTCAACCTTGAGCGATCGGCCGTCCGGCCAGCTCTGGCCTGAGGGCTCGGAGGCTCGGAGAAGACCGGTCGATTTCGGTCGGGAACTCTTGGATAGCGTATTGCTCCGCCGGTTCTGGCCCACCGCGCCTCGGCGCGACGCGCTCTCCACGTCCGCGGTCCGCATCCACGTCCCGAGCTCGCCCGAGCCTCCCGCTCCGTGGAGTGGACGAACACGCTACCCGCTCGCAGGAGATAGAGTGCAGCCGGGGCCACCGTGGCGACACTCTATTCACACGCGCATGACCGTGACGACTTCCGCCGTCCCTCGACTCGCGCTGGAGAGGCCACGACCTCTGCTCCAGATTACCCTGAGATCTCGGGGGTTTTACCCTGGAAACTGTACACGTGCGTGTATGTGTGTGTGTGTGTGTGCGTGTGTGTGTGTGTGTGTGTGTGTGTGTGTGTGAGAGCGTGTGTGTGCGCGTGTGTGATCCCCATTCGAATCTAAGATATGGCTCCAGAAAAATATGTTCATCTCTGAAGCCCGATCTGCGAAAACAACAAGAAACACAACACGCTTGCAGAGCAGCTTCTTGTCAACGCAGGGCCGACCTGGACCTGCCAGGAGCTCCCCGGACCCACCTCCACCTGCCTGCGCGCGGCGCCCACGTCCTCGACCCACCAGCGCTGCGCGCCGCGGCGAGACGAACAAAACGAGACGGGCAGCCATGGAGGGCCTGCGCCGCCCCCCCCCTCGGCGCCAAATGGGCACGGATTCGAAAGTGAGCCTGGTTACTCAAATGGGGCATATAGCCTGGCAAATTGCATCCATCGCTCTGCTGTGAAGGTACAGTATGAGGGGTGGATGGGTAAGATAGGATAAGATCGATGTAATGATCTTTCCAGCACATAGCGAACACTCGCGGTGTCCGGGCAAATAGGGCGCGCGTGCCTTGAGCCCAAGGCAGCGGCGCGCGAGCTATGCTCCCGATACTGTAACATCTCCCAAAGAGCTACCCTTAAAGTCGGGAGGGGAGGAGACGGAGAGCATAGTCGCACGCAAAGATCGCGCGCACGACTGTTTGCAAAGAAAAGAAAACAGTGCGTACAGTCTGGTCAAACACCAGACTGTAAGGCGAGTTTCCTCGCAAAGTATTTCACGCAAATACAGGACAGCCCCTTCAAACAATGAAGGGCTATCGGCTTAGTTAGAGGTAAGCCAAAATTAGGCCATACCTCACCAAGCAAATGTGTATTAAGGCAAAGAGCCTGAGTTGTACGAAGCCGGCTCGTTGCCAGGCGTGAAATATAAGGCTCGTTTCCGAGCAGCTAAAGGGGCGCCTTTATAGTAGGCGCCCGTGCTGGCAAACTGGACCGCGAGGGCAACAAGGACAGACTAAAATTGATTAGACTTAGGTTTGTCTCTGTCCTCGGGACCCCGAAAGGGAACAAATTGCTTCACGTCATACTTAAATGACTGAGTGCCTGACATCACTTCCAGAAGCAGCTCCCGATCGATGCTTCCCTTTGTATGCCCATCTGCGGTCATATCCCTAGTATCGCACCATTGCACATTATGTACTATACCTATATCCATGAGCTCACGTATCCAGCTGATATGTCCAAGCAGAGTCCGTTATGTAGGTATTTTGAGATCCCTGCTGGATAAAGATTTGTAGACGGACTCAGCGTCTATGGTAAGAGAGACTTTGATAGCAAGGCCTCCAACTTCACGCATGTCTCGTAGTTGTCGTGGAGTCAAAGCCCCTGCCTTAAGCTCGTGAAGAGTAATGAGCGTAGGGTAACACTCATCAAGGTTATGTGCGGCTGCAAGTGCCTCCGCAGCATAACTGGACCTCACCTGTAATCGGTGTGATTTGCATAGTCCGTCACAGAGGTGAACGACGGACTTGCCTTGAGGCGAGTTTCCTCGCCGTAGTACGTTGGCCCCGCGTATGCCGTAGCCCTTGGTCTCGTCATCCTCCTCCCCGGTAAGCTTCCGATACCCCGAATCGCTATGGATGTCAACTTCATTCGTCGGCTTCATCCGAGGGAAGGTGATACGTTTCGGGCTGCTGATCAGCTTTCGCGTCACAGCATTCAAACGTCTGACTTGCAAATTGGTGGGCTCTTAATTTTTCTGAAGAGAGACCACATATACCATGAGCCAGATTTGGGTAAGAAGGGCATAGGCGAGGGCTCCTCGCAGGCTGACGAACATGTCGGCAATGAGTTTCGTGGCTTTGGCGTCGGCCGCCGCTCCTGTAAGTTCTGGGTGTGTGATAGGACGTAGTTGTTTAATGTACTCGTCCTGGTCCATGATCACATCTCCCTGATCATTCTTAGTGCAGCGAACGGCGCAGTTCGTATGTGTGTGCTTGTTGAGCTTGCATTTGCCAAACACCTTTTCGACGCGTTGTACATAGTCGTCTATATTTTTCTCTAGACCTGTCATATTAATATCATCGACATGTTTTGCCATCAGAAGGTCTTGGCTGAATTCAAATTCAGGATCGTAGCTGGTCGGTGTAAGTCCTATAGCTCGTGTGGTCGTACGAAGTTTGAGAGAGAACGCTCTTGGAGCGTCCTTAGTACCCGTTCCTGGTTTGAGGCATCTAAGACAGCGTCGACTTTCGTCGTAGTATGAGAAGCCGGGTAATGCACGAAGTACCTGAGCGCTTCCTGGTGGAAGAGTAAAGCAAACCATGCGAGTTTCCTCGCCGGTGGCATGGGCAAGTTCCTCATAGGTCAAACCCTTGAGGAACGCCTTATCGATATCCATGGATGCTAAGATCCACTCTGGATGGCATGCCGCTTCACTTGCCAGGAGTCGTTGGGACTGCCTTCGGGCGGTTCCCGAGAATGTTTCCACATCAAAAGCCTCAGTATCCATAAATCCACGAAGGACCAGTCTGAGACGAATGGTTTAACGTTCTCAGTACCCATCTTTACGAACTTCCACTTGTATACATATCTGGATGTCATGATGTTGGAAGCTTTGGATAGATCGTACATCTCAAAGCATCGATTAACAATCCAGATTTTGAGCTCAGTATATAAGGCTTCACTAACCTCCTTTGGATGTGCTGCTATGTCGGCTTTGGTTAGTAGATCATCTTCTTTGACAACCACAGCGCGTTTAGCAGCAGAGGATACATATACTCTGATCGTTGCGACCATATCGGTATCGAGCTGTGCAAGTTGAATCTGATCCAACACTATTTTAGACATTTCTGATGTAAAGCATAATTCAACGTAAGGACCGTATTCATCACTGTCTAGAGAGTAGCTCTCGTCGGCTGTGTTTGAACAAAGAGAGACTAGACAGGACTCACATGATTTCGGCTCGTCTCCGAGCATGTCTGATGATATAATATCATCTTCGTCCACAAATGCTGAAACCAAAACACACAGGTCGGGCAGCATAGTTGTTGGGACGCAAGAAAGATAATCATCGGTAATCGTCGTAGGATGAAGGTCCATACGTAGCTCGTCGTACCACTCTTCCAACATCATAGCTTCAATATTGTGTTCCTCATTTTCCTCATAGATTGTCGACAGACGGCCTTCGCTCGGCGATGAAGCGTCTGGTGTGTCTGGAGAAGGCCTGTTTCCTGGCGACTCGTGTTCTCCAGACGTGTTGCTTGGATGCTGATATTTAGCCAAATCGTCGTGAAATCCGAAGGAAGGAACACGTGAAGTCAAGCATTGAATAAGTCTGGAGTGAGTGCTACCAGTGAACTGAGAAATGTTCAAGCCAGTGCCCACGCATTCGTAATAGTGGAACGCCGGGCTGATGTCGTTGTCATAGTGGATCAGCGTAGACCCGGTGGCGTACTTTACTGCAGGTAGGCTTGACACACTCTTAGCCAATCGAACTGCTACTACATGTTCTACTCGGAAGTAATTCCGTACGAGATACTGTAGTGCTAAGTGTACGCGCGGGTGAAACTTGCTGTCGTCTGACAGATTAAGGTTTCCCTTGTAATCGGGGATATACCCGAAAACTTTGGCAGGTTTCCCTGCGCTGAGGTGTGCCACATAAGCAAGGACGGTTTGCATGGCCATATTATCCATGCCAAGTTCCCGTGTGAGGAGACATTCGATGTATAGTGTGTGACGAGCATCAGGATACATCACAATTACCTCACGAGATCCTGCCTTGACAACGATATGTCCTCTTTCAGGCACGTTTCGGATCACCGGGAATGGGCCGTTCCAGCCTCCATGGTCGTCCTCGGTGGCAGTAGGTCGGTGGTAGTCGACCAAATCCCCTGATGAGTAGAGGCGAGCACCATCAGGAGTCGTCTTAGCCCTAAGAGCCCGATTTGTCTTGGCTACAGCAGTAGCCTGAGTTATGGCTTCGAGGCTGACTTCCCTTACGCGACGTTCTCGTTCGTGTCCTGAAATTTCGGGTCCCTTGGGAAAGTCAAGGGTGTCGAGATCAGGAAGGAAGGAGGGATGACGTCCTGTGTGTGCCTGATATGGCGATACTCCGTTATAAAACGTAAACGCACTAGTAACGAAGATGCCTTCCGCCAATACTCTAGTGAATACAACGGGGATGTTGTGTCTATTCAATTC